TTTTTTACTTTCTTCGCTATCTTACAAATATTCTTTAAAAAATTTTTAAATTGAAATATTGATGGATATCGTGAGCAGATTTCATGCACAATGTAGAACAATGCGTTTAAATTTAATGTGATCCAAAAAATAACGAGTTCAAATTTATATAAGCTTTATAAAATATTCATATGTGTCAATTTCATTTATTGAAATGTTTTACCGAACTTGCCAGGTAAATAAAAAATTAAATTATGCGAGAGCATTCATAATCTTCATTCAAGAAGACATCTTAACTTGGCAAAGAGCGGAAGACGCATTATCAAAGATATGATTGAAATATTTCTAAAAAAAAAAAAGAAATAAGATTTAGTAATAGACTACCAAACAAATAAAAAAAGACTATTTGTTTGGAGAAAGACTTAATTATTGCCATACGTTTCAATCTCTCAATTTCTTCAAAAATTCTCCTAGCCGAACCATAACTCATTCCAAAAGAATAAGTTACATCAAATGTGACGTAAAGTAAATCCCTTCCGATTAGTTTTTGAGATAAAAAACTTTCCAATTCATAATGAGTAATGTTATATCGACGCATTTTTGATACAAATTGATTCCTAAAATGATTCTTAACATCCGTTTGTGTCCATTTATCCAAGATTTTTGGATCTGGAGTATTTGGAGGTACTACATTTATAAAGATGATGATGAAAATTTTAATTCTAGATTATCGACTAATAAAATTTTGAAATATGATATTACCATCAGTCACTTCAATCACTTCAAGCATTTTTAACTAATTTGATTAATTAAATTTATTTTAATACAGACTCTCTTGTTAAATGTACCAGATATCACCTCGGGTATAAAAGATAAAAAAAAATTTGCTTGCGTGATCGACCTTATATAGACAATTAATGTATTGTTCACACTGACGCAACGATCATCAAGACTGTGCGACCAACAAATCCGAAGAAAATCAAAAAAAAAATTATGTAATGGTCATGAAAAAAAAAAGAAAAGATTTATAATGATAAGAGTGAATAAAAAAGTATTGTTTTATTATTTTATGTAATCTTACGGAAAAGTTACACAAATAGTTTCGGTGTTTGCGCGAATAGAAAAGAAAAATAATTTGCTTAATTAAAGTTGATGTCCTAAATATATTTTTAAATAAATCATCCATTAGTTCTTACACATACTATTTTACGACCATTTGTTTTTTTCGTTCTCGGTTAGGGTAATTATTTTTATATGTTTATAAAAGTAATATTTATATAATAAAAATTATGAATTATGAACGATGGTTAATCTTCTCTAATATAATATATATGAGAATTTTCTGTAACAGCAGTGGTGGTGGTGGCGGTGAAGTTTGATCGTTGTATTATGAGTTTTACAATTTTCGCTTCGTTATTAATGCAGGTTATATTGGTGCCAGAATATAATTCTTATTCAATTGCAGAATACTTTTCTCGTAAAAAATGAAATAATTAAAATTAAAAAGAATCTCCTTGATAATAAGTATGAAATAAGAAAGACTTTCAACTTCACTTTAAATTTATTTTGGACAAAGGATGTTATAAATTTGGTAATTATGGATGTTCTTACAACAGACCCTTTCCACGAAATTTATGCCTGCTCACTTTCTTTACAAACTTACAAGGTGCAGCGCAACATTTCGCATTTTGTCCATCTCTAAAACAATCGCGACATACAAAGAAGATTTCAATTGCTTATCCGGTCTCCTTTTGCATTAGGCTTACAATGGATCTTGAATAAATTCTTGTCTCTCATTACTTGAAGGAATAGAATTAATCCCATGTTACTTTTTTGGATTATGTTATGTCATTGAAAATTCCATTGAATATAAATATAGATGTAATTAATACAGTTTACGCTCTAATTTTTACCCTAAGCATAACCTTAAGTCGAATCTAGCTCCATCTTTCTAACTTTTAACGCTAAAAAAAAAATGATTCTGCGTTTCGGCCTTTTCGCCTAATAAACCTTACCATTCAACCGATTTCATTAATCTTGCGTGTTATGTATTATCTAGGTTGAACGTCCCATTTCTTTCTTAAAATTAGAGTTTGTAGGAAGAAGAATAAAAAAAAACTTCATTGTTAACGATCGATCCAATATTAAATACTGCGGTTAGATGAACAATTATGACGTCGGTCACGTGTTTATATAAGTTTTTTTTTAAAAAAAACGAAATTAACGCGCAATTCACAAAACCTGATACAACACAACAATTAAGTATTAAAACATATACACTAAAGTTTAGATGAATCATCCCAATTACCAGTGAGAGTAAAGAAAAATCATATATGGAATCATGCGAGAAAAAGTCTATTTAAAATTTAATCGTTCTTGCTTACTGCGGCAGAGGTATAATGCAAGTGACGTTAAATAAATTAATTATATTACGCATCACCAGCTGATATCATAATAGATAATTAGTAATATAAAAAAAAAAAGAAAACATAAATTCTCTCTTAACTTTCACCTCAGTTAAAATGGTTGCTTCAGAAAACAAAAAATTTTTTTATAATGACGGAAGTGAATACACATTTGATTTTGAAAATTTTATCAAGAATGAATTAGGGCTTGGAAAAAAACCCGGTAAACAACCCTTGGATCATTTAAATATTCTAATCTATCTTTATAATTTTTATGTTTTGTTTTTTTTAAAAGTAGATATTGCAAAAAGATCTAAAATAGTTTGTCAAGATTATCTTCGAGGATCTTGTCATAGAGTTACGACTTGCAAATACCAACATAAGATCAGGAAAGTTGTCGTTTGTAAACATTGGTTACGCGGATTATGTATGAAAGGAGATGAGCGATGCGATTACTTGCACGAATATGATTTGTCAAAAATGCCCAAATGTATTTATTATGCATTGCATGGAGAATGTAATTCACCAAATTGTATTTATTCACATAATGATATTGACTGTGAGAGATGTTCGTGGTATGACCGCGGATTCTGTAAAAACGGTAAATTGCCTTCGCAAAGGTTCATTTATAAATTGAGAAAGATCAACATTTTTGATCTTTCTTTGTACTTTATAAGGACCCACATGTTTTAGGAAACATGTAAAACAAATTGCCTGTCAATTGTACTTGGCCGGATTTTGTCCCCGCGGTTCTAATTGTCTCAATGGACAGTAAGTTTTTTTTTTTTAAAAAAAAAGGACCTTTTTTATTTTTTTTAACGTATTTTTGGATAGCCCTAAAGCAGCTGCCGACCGTGGATATCAAGATTACTTTTTATCAAATAAAGAGAAATATAAGATGATGAATTTTATCAAGGAAGGTTATGGCAATATGGTGAACGTCAATTTTCTTAATCATTGTTTTATTTTGATAGAATTTTACGATTAAGTCTCGTTTTCTATATACAGTCTGAAGCGTTTGGCGCTCAGAATCGTACAATTTCCCCACACAAAGATTTTTTCTGCTTTAATGTAATAAATTCTTTTAAAAAATTATCATGATTTTTTGTTTTATATTTTACAAACATATAACAATTTACCTTTTCGTATATAAATAGTGCGGAGAGAAGGGTCATTTCGCGAGAAATTGTCTTGTTTAACTTAATTTACTTTGGTTAGTATCATAAATGTTGTGCTTGTATGTACAATATGTAATTTTTGTAATCTCTATTCTTAAGATTAATGATATTTAATAATAATAAGAATATTTTCACTGCAGATTTATTGATGCAAACGAAAGAAAATCCTTTTTATCACATGATTTGATAATATTTAATAATTGTATATAATTCTAAAACTTGTAATCGACATAATATGTAAAAGATATTCGCAGTTTTCCTAAATTATAAATTTAAAACAAATTATTATTAAAGTTAATAAAATATGCTTTAAACTTGGTTTAAACTTAATGTTAAAAAAATAATCAATTTTAAGAATTTCTTTATCGCAATCATTACTAACCGGATTCCTACCCAAACACATATTTAACATGTCTTTTATGCGAAATCGATTAGAATTATTATTAACATTTTTCATATAATTAGCAATTTCAATCTTATCGATTATTTTAAATCTTGTGTAGTGAATAAATTTATGTACTGTATATTATAAATATTTAGGTTATTTGAGAAATTAAAAGTATTTTCATGGATTGAACGGTAATTTCAAAAAAAAAAAAAATAATAATAATGTTAAATATTCACTTCCAGTAGAAATTATGAAACCGTGTGTGAAAAACTTTTGAAAATCTGATACAATTTCTAGGCTCTTTACTAAAATTTACGAATTATTCTATCCATCATGAATAATTATCTGAACACACATTTCGAATATCCTGCAAATTTTAATTAGATTAAAAATACCTTGCGACGATCAAAATTTTCCAAGAATAATTCATGTATTATTTAAACACTTGATTTACCAATATAGCAACTTTTCCAAAAGAATTAATTTGTTTTCTTTAAATTCAATTTTATTGTTTGACTACTACATGTGAATGATCATTTATTGTGAATCCTATTTTTCACGGTACGTGGAACGCACACTCAATCTGAAGCTTATTCCAACTAAAAAACGTTTTTATTCTTTTAACAATATTTATCTACAGCCTTCGTGAAATAATTATTACATATTAAAGTTCGTTGGGTTATTAAACGATCGAGTCTTTAATCAACGTCAAAATAGATACGTTGACGACCCGCAATCGGATTTGATCATTCATATTACTGCGACATTTAAAATTATGATGTGATTAATTCTTGACCGCAACAAATAACTTAATAGGCATGACCCATTGGGCTGTTTAGGATTGAATTCTTGCTATAAATTTCACCTGGCATGAGAATTTATTAATTATATAGTTGTAACACGAATTTGCAATTTGGCTTTTTTTAGAGTGTATTCATAAATAGTACATGAAATCAAACACATGAAATCTGAAATAAACTGTCTAAAATTATAAAAACTCCCTAAAATCACGAAATCAAAATATTATATAATCAAAGACTATGGCTATAATCAGGATTGCTGAATTACTACTTGAACGATTTTTTTTTTTGCCCGTAACAAAGTGAAATAATAATTTTGGCATCTAAAGTTTGATTAATGCAAAAAAATTTAAAATGCAATGTGTTATGTTTAAACTTGGGATCCAAAATTGCAAATAAATACTTGCAATGAAGTTGAATGTTTTGACATCACGTGACGAGAACGCTATCTATGAATTTTCAATTTTACGTTGGATCTTTTTAATATTGCGTAATTAAATACTGCAAGGCAATTCAAAATTATTTTTTTCCGTTATTTTAGCAGGTTAGTTTTTTAAGAAAGCCAGCAAGGAGGAGAAATAGATTATGTTATGTAAGGTGGACACTCCTCCTCGACAAGGAGAAAAATAAATTAACCGCCGTCAATAGAAAGATTAATGTTAATGTCAAGGACGAACTTGATTACTATATTATTGCTAAAATACGTTATTGAATTTTTTAAAGTTTCGATTTTAATGGATGAATTCAAGAAAAGAAGTGAACAGCATGAATCTTTGGTGTTAATTAAGGAAACTAAATTTTTCAAAAATACTTTTGATAATTGGTATAAATTCAACACATATTGTTTATTATAAAATTATACAAGTTAAAACGAAAATTTTTTTTTCGGAATAAACAACGATAAAAATGATGATAAAACCATCTACTATTATAAGTTGACATAGTTTTTGTTATATCGTATTCATTCACCTGAAAACGTTGAAAAACGACTAGTAGCCTAGAAAAATATATATAGAATTTATGAAATCATTTCCTTGTAAATTCGAAATTATACGTAAATTAACAATAAAAAAGTTTTACTGCGCTACATCAAAAAATGATGAATTTGCTTTATAATTTATATTAGTACGTCGTTAGACACTCATCTCACGTGAAGATGCTTTAAGAATATGAAATTTTCGTTATGTATATTGTGATAAAATTGAATTTTAAATGTCAGTTCTTCATTACATTATTAATTTAAAATTTCCTTTTAAAATTAACAACGCCTGCGATAGAATTAATGTCTGATAAAATATTTAATATACTAACTATATTTGGTAGTATTGTTTTAGGAGTTTATTGAATTTATTCTTTTACAGTATACTTTAGAAACGGTAAATTCGAAAAATTATTTTCTAAAATCAGTGAACAAGACGTAAATTACATGCATATTCACTTATCTATATATGCAATAGTCTAATCTACTCTAAAAAAGTTTGGAACATACAAGTCATTCAAAATTTTCTTTCCTAATTAATAATTTAATAAAGAAATTGTTTTGATTTTTTACCTGGGAAAATATTATTATGCTATTTTTTTAATTTAACTATTAGAACTTTCTAGTTTTGATCCTAACTTTTAATTCATCGCAATGTCTAACGATAGTATAATGTGTTTTCATAGGAGCATTCTCAATCAACTCAACGTCATATTTTCGATACAACAATACCATTAATGCTTTCAATTCCATGATCGCCAAATTTCGTCCCTAAAAAAAAAAATAAAAAAAAATAAAAAAATAAAAAAGGAAATATTAGCGTATTTTCAAATTATGATAAAAGTGAAACATTAACAACAGAATTGATGACTCACTGGACACATCCTTGCACCGCCTCCAAATTGGAATGCTAAATTTTTATCTTGACCATTAATAAATCGATCAGGATCAAATTTTTCAGGATTAGTCCAATTAGATTTATGCTTATTTATACCCCTTTGGTTTATAAAGAATTGGGTTTCGGCAGGAATAATGTATTTATCTAAAGTTTCTTCTTTAGTATTCATCCGATAATTAATATCTACTACTGGAAGAAAACGGGAGACTTCTTTAATTACTGCATCACAGTAAGTTAGTTTATTAAGATCTTCGAAAGACAATTTTTGATTGATTGAAATTCTTGAATCAATTTCTTCAAAGAGTCGTTTCTTTACTTCGGGATAACGAGCCATACAATAACTGATAAAACAAATTGTCCCCGCCGTAGGATCAGTACCTCCAGAAACAGCTTCCATAAAGTTACCAACGATGGCTTCATCTGTCATCGGTTCCGTATTAGTTTCATTGGCAATTTGCTCAGTAATATCTCTTTCGGTGTTAACCGTCAAGAACATTGAAAGCATGTCAGGAGTAATTGGCTCATCCAAAGGAGTGTTATTAATTTCTTCCCTTCGTTGTGTAACCAATTTTAATAAATCTTTTCTCATATTATCTCTTTCCTTTAATAATCGCATGGTTTTCTTTTTAAATCCGCCAGGGAAATGTCGTAGCCATTTTGGTGTTAACAAGAAATATTGCAGGCTTGTAATAAAGTCATTAATTCTTTTAATAAATTCTTCAGACTCCTTTAACACGGTAGAATCCACGTTAATCTTTTCCTTTGGAAACGTATCATTGAAATAATTTGCTATTGCATAAGTTTTTTTATTTGTCGTAATACGAAATATGAGATCAGTAGTAAATCTAAGCAGCCATTCGGACAAATCTACTTCAATACCATCATCTCCATCAAGTTTCTTCCAATAACCTTCCACTTCTTCAAATATTTCTTCCGTCCATGATATAGCTTGTCTAACGAATTTTGGTGACATGATGGCCCGATAAAAAAATTTACGATAGTATGCCCACGCATCTTGATTTCTATTGTATAATAATCCCTTTGACGTGTTACCTAATTCGTCTAATCCATCATTTGGTGGTGTGCGTAAAATGAAATTACATTCTTGTAAATTGGTCGTATAAACTTTTTCCAATAATTCCGCTCTGCCCAATCCGATCCCTCTTGTTTTATCGCTAGGATGTCCAATATAGAATTCCCAAATATCGCCATACTTTTTTTGACATGTTTCAGAGAATTCTGACATGTCTCCAGGATATTGATGTAGATTTCCTATAAACGGTAGTGGAATTGGACCAGGAATCGGGTTAGGACGAGTGAAGAACTTGAAATAAAAATATGCCAAATATGTGACTATTCCTACTCCTACACTAATGAGAATGCTAGGAATATCAAATAAAATTGTTGAAATCATCGTTGAAAAAAGTTATTGATTTATAGAAGTGGGAATTTTTTATTTTATTTTTTTTTTTCTTAAAAAAATATCAAGCATTTATATATTAAATTTTGAAGCGCAGAAAAAAAAAAGTTATTATTTTTTTTTTTTCGTAAATTTGTATTCTGAAACTATTGGCGTGCCTGAACCTGGAAAATTTTCCATTAATGGTGATTCTCAATCGAATTGCTGCACAAATATTAAAAAGTTTGGACGGTGCATCATAACAATATACCTAATATAATCAGGGTTGACTAAATAACATTTTTTTTTGACAATATTTGAAACAGAACCGATTTCTTCCGTGTGACAATTCGATGTTGCACAAGTTTTTTTATCCATTTTCCATTTAAGTCAATTAAATGTAAATTGTGATCGAAATGTTTGTTACATAAACCTAAAATTATGAACCAATAAATATAATATACATTTTATCTTAATTCAATCAATTTTCATCTTATGAGGTTGATAAAGAAAAGATAAATATCAAATAATGGATGGAACATGGTAGATGGATTTTAGTTTATAAACCATAAAAACGTTAATATTACTTAATATAAGTTTTTGATTCAACTTTTCGTATCAAATCTTTCAAACAGACGATATAGATAAATTAATTGTTTATCTTTAATTAAAATAAAGTTTAAATTAATTTTAAACAGATAGTGAGCGTAATACAGGTTATAACTTTACATTACCATTAATTTTTTATAAAGTACCTCACGAAAATGATAATGATGTCTTTGGTAGTAACGAATTTTTAGTATAAAATATTAGAACCGATTTAATGTACCTAGAGTTAGGATCCCGAGTCAATTCGGATTTATTGTTGGCTAATCTTCTGATCCAGACCGAGTTTGGCTAATACATTATTCTTTTGTGTAGTGTTACACAACTAACTCAATAAGGAATTTTAAAAAGGAAATACTATTTAGGAAAACTTTTTTTTATGGTTACACCCGTTTGTTTATTATAATGATAAATGTTGCAGATCTACTGACATTTTTTTCCCTTCATTTCGCTTGATAAATATCCGATTAAAAAAAA